GAATGAATGAATAACATTAGAAAATAGGGGCGTGAAAGAATTTAACACCTAACGTGGACTTGTTTGGGCTTGCCTCGAGGGGCATGGCACAAAGGCGGCTCGTAGAATCAAGAATGTAATATGTTTTACATTACATTAGCTACTTGAAGTAATGCGATTGAGTGAAAAAAGAGATTAGAGGTTTTACATGCTTGAAAATGTTTTATATGTTTGATTTTATTTTTAAATTCTCATTTGAATATGCTTTACATCTTATGTTTATGTATTTTAATTTTAGATAATAGGTTTTTTAAAATATTTATTTTAAAATTTAAGTTTATATTTTTTTATTAATATTATGTTTAGTATTTTTTGTTTTTTTTTTGATTTTTTTGGCATTTTTTGAATTTTCTGACATTTTTTATTTTTAGCTCTTTTTTTTTGTATTTTTGCGCCTTGTGCCTCAGGCGCAAATTGACTGCTGCGCCTTTTTTGCTCCTTGTGCTTTTAAAACACTGGGCTGAAATTATGGCTTTCTTAAATAGATTGAGGCTTTCAGTACAACTCAGAGTAAGGGAATCGGAAGTTGAAGGAGATTCACAATTAGTCATCTATTGGTCCAAGGATTTCAGCTTGGTTCCTTGGAAACACAGACATGCTTTCAGGGAAATTGATACCCTAGCAAAGAGATTCAATGCTACTTTTGGCTGGATAAGGATTGCAAATTGATTGGCAGATGTTCTGGCAAAGCAAGGAGTTGACAGTCCTAGTTTGTTTTGGGCAAAGTTGTAACCTGATGTACTTTGGGCTGTTGGGAACCTGCTAGTTTTTTGCACTTCCTTGTAACTGTGGCTTGAAAGTTTTTGGGGATGACATCCCTGTCTTCGAATTGTATTAACTACAGCTTTAATCATCTCTCTTCTTCAAATTGTATTAACTACAGCTTTAATAATCTCTAATAAAACAAGTTATCTTCTGCTGATCAAAAAAGAAAGAAAGAAAGAAAGAAAGAAAGAAAGAAAGAAAGAAAGGAAGGAAGAAAGAAAGGAAGAAAGAAAGAAAGAAAGAAAGAAAAGGATCTATGCTTTCAAATTCAGGATGGTTCATGAACCCATAAGATAGGAACTTGTAGGTCTGTTCAATTGCATTGTCAAACTGTCAGGATGGTTCTCAACTGTTAAAAAGGAACTTCATTGTAGGTCAACAGTTCAACTGCATTTTCAAACTATTGACTTGTGAACTTGTGGTTTCATAATAAACTCCATTAAAAGCAATACTTTAGAGTCCTTGCAGATTTGTTAAACCTACAAGCTATACATATGAAACATTAGCATAACCAAGTTTTATTGACCACATGGACTAGATTCTTGACAGGGTTGCAGGGGTTGTTAGACTGATGATATGGTTCTTTGATGGATATATCTGAAAAATTTGTTTTAATAATTGCTTTTGTTTATATTTTTTCGAAGAAGTTATTGTATAAAAGTATAAAATCAAAAGTATACAAGTATGGTCCTCTGTACAAAGTGTTTCTGTACATTTTACACAACCATTGATGACCCCTAGAAAAGTCTATTTTGCAAAAAAGGGGAAGAAAGATCATCTCCACTAAAAACATCTAGTGAGTAGATAACCAGCTTCTTATCATGTGAACTGTATAATTAATAACCACCTCCTCCGGATTAGTCTTATGCTCAAAAGTCCTGCTATTTCTTTCCATCCAGATTGCCAACTGCTAAGGCACAACTGCCAGTATACTCTGCCTGGCTTAGACATCCCCTGAGGCCTGAACTTGCCAGCCAGCTAGCAAAGTCTTCAATGAGGCAGGAAAACATCCATAAACAGGACCAGATTTGCTCGAGCTTTGTTTTATATTGGACAACTGTGACAATGCAATGCATCAATCCACACTCAAACAAAAGGTCTGCTGAGAAACATGAACAAATTCTGATGGATCAAAATCAAAATGAAAACTTTGATCTGTTTTTGAAAGCATATGTCGTTAAAAATTTAAATCCTAACATACTGATCAAAAAAGCCCTAACAGAAGAAGAAGATTACTTTGGCTATATTTTCACCTGTTTAAATGATTTATGTTGGGCTTTTTTGATCATTTAGAAGGAACAAAATATGCGAATTATCCAAGATAAACATCAGTCCAGAGAATCAATAATTAGCTTGATTGGAATTAGAGTCATTTATTCAGTGTTGCATGGACATGGACACAAGAATCTGAATCTGATACATGTCAAGGAGTCTGACTTGGTGAACACAAAAATGTAGGATTCATGGACATGTACCACATGTTAAATATTTTATTATATATATTTGATGTTATAGTTTTTTAATATCATTCTTAAAATTCACAGAACTATTAAGCACAACAATTTAAATGCTTTAATTAGAATTTACAATTGAGAAGTTAAATTCACAGCTTTTGCCTATTTGCTTCATGGCCACACTAGTTGTTTTTCATTGTTTTCCTAATTTCAATATTGAGTAAGATCCAATAGAATGGGCCATAAATTGTGTTAATTTGGGAAAATACCAAAACTAGATTTCCCTAATTAGTCAGTTTAAATGGTTGGATAACTGTTACGTAGAGGCATTTAAAGTGAAGATTCATAAATTTGGAGAGTTGACGGGGCAGGAGTTTTGGTAAATCCGCATTATGCTCTAGCTCAGTCTGACACATGTCTCAACTTTTGAGTCCCTTCCAAAGGTGGGGTGTTTGCATTCATTGGCTTAAGGCAAGAGAAGAGTTCTCCTGCTTTACTACAGATGAAATCCTCAGAGGATGGTCTATAGTGGTTTCATCATCTATCTGCAATAGATCCAATATAACATGGGCCCCTCCCCCACTGGCAGAGTTAAAGTATTGGAGATCCTAGGGGGTTCAGGCATGTTTTCAGGGAAAGAGAATGTCTTTGAAGGGAGTTAAACACATTCTACAATTGGGTTAGAAGAACTGCAAATGGGATGGTGGATTCGTTAGCAAAACAAAACAAGGGGTTAATAGGCATCAGTTGTTTTGAGCTTTAGTATGAATCTTTTATATTTCGGGCTGTTGGAATATCCCGAGATGTTGTACTAAACTTTTCATATAATTAATAAAATCTTCCTTGATTAAAAAAGACCCTAGGGGTTCAGACCAAGGATCAAAATGTTGACCATATTGATGACCATGGCAATGCATGGATACACTGATATACACAAAATTTTAAAACTTTGGGATGTTAGATTACATCTCTACAAAGCTGATAAGATAAAATAATTAAAAATAAGGGAAAAATATGGTATTGGTCATATTGATGGTATGATACCCACTGATGGGTATTGGATGTATTGATATTTTGATCCTTGGTTCCGGCATTGGTGGTGTATTTGGAAACCATGAAGGTGTAGGAGATGCTAGCTTTCTCAGGGCCAATTGGTGTTGGAAATTCCATGAGAGGTGAGCTACACACTGCATTTGAAGGGCTGAGATTGGCCAAATCGTCTGGCCTTTTGGGACTGTTTGTAGAGGAGACTCAAAATCAACCATTAGCTGGCTAGAAGGGAGAAATGGATAGACCTTTGAACCTCAGACATCAAATTAAGGAAGCAAGACATCTCTGCCTCAGGTTACAACACGGAATTTTTTGGTTCCTTAGTCTGACTCAGTGGCTGATTCTCTAGTCTCAGAGGAAACTAGTTTTCCTTTCTTTTTCTGATATGCGCCAATATCTACTGGCCTAGCCACAGGTCTGTGTAAGACTAAGGGAGCTCTCATTGATGTGGGCGAATTGCTGGAAACTAATTTTCCTTGTTGTTGTTTTTTTTTTTTTTTTTTTCTTGTGGATCTTTTGAGTTAGCTAATTGAAGCTCTTCCTGTTATGCTCCTTACTACCATTTCTTGTGGATCTTTGTGGGAGCATATTGTATCATAATATTTGTTTTCTTGAGTTTTTTGAACTTGGTTTTATATGATTCTGGGTAATGACCGCCCTGTACAGGGAAACTATTGCTATGTATTTTGTTTGGGATCCACTATTCACTTGGTCAGTGTTTGGAACTGATGCCATTTTCTTGAAAAATGGTGCCACATCAGTGCCACGTCTGAAACCTGTTTTTTTTCTGAAAAACGTTTACTCAAACCACACCTTGGAAATTGGGAAAGGTGTGGTCTGAGAAACATCCTTTTTGGTGTTTTCTTGTATTTTTATTGTTGCTAGCAACAGTATGCTGATATGGTGTTGAAAAACGCCTATGTGGCAGCAACGTTTTTACTGTTGCTAACCAGAAAAAAACAGCATACCAATGCAGCACCGTTTTCTCCAAAAGCACCTCTCAGGAAACGCATTGGACTGGTGTTCTATGGTTTCTTAATAAACATAACACTGAGTTGGTTGTGGGTAATTTTCAGAGAGAGAGAGAGAGAGAGAGAGCCCCATGTTTGATGATTTTGTTTTTAAAAAATTTTAAAAAGCCACACAATTTGAGGGGGCTGGGAAGAAAGAGGGAAGAGGAGAGAGAAAAACATGACGTGGGCAAAGCCCATTTCATTTTATATGTATAATAGATTAGATATCATGTTATGATACATAATATATGATATGAATGTGCATAACTTAATCATTGTAGGATATTCAGAATTATTTACCAATTGGCTCCTAATCAGTAATTTATGGATGTACAAAAATGAACTGAAAAAGTTTAAATGGATGACTAGGGGTATGGTTGTAAAAGTTCAATGGGTGCATTGGTCGGCCAATAGCATGGCTGATTACTTAGCATAAACAAAGGGTTGGGAGGAATCAAATGTTTTGGGCTATCTTGCAAATTAGAGTTGTGGCGATTTGGACATAAGAGGTTTTATCTCTGATTGCTATTTGTAACTTGTACTTTCTATAGTTTAATATTTTAATTAATCTTCTGTTGCTGATCAAAAAAAAAAAAAAATCATGTTTGGTAACCCAAGCTCCTGTTTTGCTATGCCCTTACGTATTAACTGATTATAACAGAGTTCTTTGGTTGTGCAGGTTAATGATGTTGTCCTTGTAGGTGATAATACCCTTGTTTCATGCTCCTCAGACACAACTCTCAAGGTTCATACACTCTAGAAATTGGTATTGTTAAGTTGTTTCCTTTCATAATAAAAAGAGTTTATTTTTTATAATTAACTTTTCTCTGTTGAAATATGCCAGACATGGAATTGCTTGTCTGATGGAATTTGTAGCAGAACTCTCCGTCAGCACTCTGACTATGTTACTTGTCTTGCTTCGGCAGAGAAAAATGTAACTTCTTACTCGATTTTAAAATGTTGTTGCAAGCTTCCTTCATTGTTCTTATAATTCCTTTTTTAGTATTTCCTTATGTTAGATTTGACAATGCTGTTTATGCTTGGCAGCATTGCTTTGATTTGGTCACTACAAGTTTCTGATCCTTTTGTAGTGTCATGCATTTTAGAGCAATATTGTTGCCTCTGGTGGGCTTGGAGGGGAGGTTTTCATATGGGATCTTGAAGCTGCACTTGTTCCAGTCTCAAAGTCAGTTGATACAATGGAGGATGATTGTCAAAATGGTGTAATTAGTTCTGGCAACTCTGGGATGCCAATTACAAGCCTTCGTTCAATTAGTTCATCCACCACCGTTTCTCTCCATATGACCCACTCACATGGTTATGGTCCTATTGCTGCCAAAGGCCATAAAGAGTCAGTATATGCATTGGCAATGAATGAAAATGGAAGTCTACTTGTTTCTGGGGGAACTGAAAAGGTAAACGGATGGTTAGAGCTATGTTCCTCTGGATTTTGTGTCTGTTTTGTGTTATCCTCCACCACCATTATCTTTAATCGTGTTGGTATTTGGTTGATTGTTTTTTGTCCCCCAATAACTTGTACCACTTTCCTCATGGCCTTGGTTCTCCATGTAGGTAGTGCGTGTTTGGGATTCAAGAACTGGTTCAAAGACTATGAAACTAAGAGGCCATACAGATAATATTAGGGCTCTGCTTTTGGATCCTTCTGGCAGGTTCATTTGATATTAGTTTTGTTACTCAGCAAAAACTTTTCTCCATTGACTGATTTTCATCTTCCACCTAGAAGTGAGCATTGCTTTTGCTCACTGGTTCTGCTTTTACATTTTTAATTCACTTGAAAATACAAAATGGCGTGCATGCTTATGGGAGAAAGAACCATGATTGTGAAAGCAAGGGGATTGAAGGCATATGATTGGTAGCATAAAATTTTATAGGATATATGTTGATCAATGTTTTGTACCTTGTGTGCTTACTGCATTTATGTTTTTGACCTTTTCTTCTCATGCTATTATATCATGTATCATACTCAGGTTTCTCACAATTATGTTTCAGGTTTTGCTTATCAGGATCCTCTGATTCCATGATCAGGTAAATACTTGACAACATTTATCTAACACCATGTTTCTTATATGTGGATAGTGGATACTTGTTAGGTGTGAATGGATTTAGCAATAGTTAATTGGGAATTTTATCTTTTTTTCCTGTCATTTTTTGATAGAACAGACAAAAATGTACTTTTCTATATTTAGGAAAAACCCTATTAGTGGTTCTGCTCATTTCAAAAGATGGATTCTAGTCATAGGTTTGGTCGTACTTTACCTTAAAAAAAAGTGTTATCTTATGCATTCTTTCGTACTTTGTATATGGTGCACCAGATCCATGGTGTTAACTGAATATGACACGGACCTTATGGTTTGACCCAAAATGTAAAGCTAGTATCATTCTTTAATGTAAAAAATTGGGGAGTGAAGGGAATAAAAAAATCTATGCCCAGGCCAAGTTGAAAATTATGTAATCTAATATTTGTGAATCTATTTACTTTGGGTTTGGATTAGGGTGCTTTAGGATTTGAAGGCAAAATTGGATCTGTCAATTCTTTGGGCCTCTGGACTGTATTGATTTTAATTTATGGTGTCAATTGTATTTGACCTGTGGTTTCTGCAATTTAGTGGAATTGAAAATAACCAGTTGAGGCTTAGCCATTTCATTTCCCTGTAGAAATGGGAATGAGATTCAAACCCAAGAATTATTTTGAAAGATTTGTCTGTCGCTTCCTTGCACAATCTCAAACGGGCAATACTGGTAGTGTAGACAATAGGAATTTCCCTTTGGTACTAAACTCCTTGGATGACCATGTCATGATAAACTCACCAAGTCATCAATGCATAACTGGGTTCCTAAGATTTGCATAAAAACATCCTGTAAGGCAGCAACGAACTTGCATTGTTCGAAGAGATGGTCCACCTTACATGCTTTAGTTTGACATTTATTTTTGATAGGCAGCACTAGTCTGACATCTGAAGCACCTATTGTCATTACCTTCGTTCATTTTGTCCAAGCTAGTGGTTTGAAAGAAGAAAAACAACTTGGTTTTGGGTTAACGCCATCAAAATTTTAATTGATCATTTGCTTTTCCTAATTAGGATATCAAATCTCGAAAGTAGGCTTTGTTTCTGAGTTTCTAGCTATCAAGAAAAGTATGTTTTTTTATTGAACTGTAATGAAACAGGAATTTTAATAATAAGAAAGGTACGAACAATTATATTGGTTGCTAGCCACTATACCAATGCAACAACTGAAAGCACCCCTTACAACAGCACACACCAGTAACATTTTTTCTCTTGTTTCCCCCCTTCTGCCAATCCATTAGCTATGCTATTTGTCACTCTTGGAACCCAATTGATGTTACTACTCATCTGCCTCAAGATGCTTCTGATTTCCCTTACAACGTGTCTATAGGACCAAGAGCCCTCCTGGTTACTCTTCAACTAGTTTGTGACTACCTTTGAATCCCCTTCAAGGATAACATTTCTATAGTTAAACATTTTTATCTTTCTTAAGCTAGTTAGCACTGCTATAAGTTCTGCTGTGGAGTCACAAATGGCTATTGGTCCTGAGAAAAGGCCGATTTGTTCTCCTGCATTTTTTTATAACTCCCCCAACTCCTTACAACCCTGGGTTGCTCAGGCTGCTACCATCGGAATTCAGCTTATAATGAGATAGTGGTGGAGACTTCCAGACAGCAACAGGTTTCTTATTTCCAGTAGAAGAATCAGCCACTAATTGCCACCTTTTACAAATGTCATCAATGTTGGAAGAGGCAAATAGATCTAACGTTTTGAACCAGTGAGCCACCTTGATCAAAACACTATCTATGACCTCTAGAACTCCTCTTTCCTTCTTAAATAGCTTTGAGTTTCTTTCCTCGCATACACACTACAAAACTGCCGCCCTTGTACATGTCCAAAGAAACTTTCCCCTCTTTTGTGCAGGAGAGTAAAATCCCAAATAGCAGTCACATAATTACAGAAGATTAGCAGGTGGGAAGTGCTTTCAACTTTAGTTGGGCAATTGGTAGTTTTGACTTGCTATTTCACCTGGAGTTTTTAGTAAATTTTGTTATGATTGTGGGAAGCATAATCTCTGATTCTCTTACATGGGGTTGGTGTAAATGTTGTACGTGAGATGAGTGCCTGTAATTGTACCTTTGCATGGAAATATCTCCTATTTTTACCTTTTGTCTGTAATATGGATTACATTACATCTCCAAAAAAGGTAAATGTACAACATATCATTGTGAATGGTGGGAAGATTGCAAAGTAGAGGGTTGGGCAGGCTTTAGGCTCCGAAAGAAATTAAGAGCTCTAAAGAGAAACCGGAAACTTTGGGGGAGAGAGGTATTCAAAACTGTTGAAGAAGAAAAGAAAAGAGTTCTTACAGAGATCAAGGAGCTGGATAGCAGAGAACAAAATGGGACCCTTGATGCTCTGAACAGAAGTAGAAGAGCAGATTTGAAAAAGGAATGGGAACAATTAATCAGAAGAGAAGAAATTTACTGGAGACAGAGATCAAGAGTGAAATGGCTGAAAGAAGGAGACAATAACTCCAGATTTTTTCACACTTATGCCTCGGGAAGGAGCAGGCTCCAAGCTGAAAGTGAACCAGAGGGAAGAGGAAAATCTCGAGAAAATTAAGGAAGCCTTCCTCTCCTTTTTCAACAACCTCTACTCCAAGGATAGCAGATATCAATTCACATTTAGTAGATGGGAAGGCACAACTTTATCAGCCGAAAAAAGGGATTGGTTGGAAAGAAGTTTTGAAGAGGAAACAGTAAAGTCAGATATTATGGATTTTTTCAGGGAATTCCACTCTTTGGTCATTGTTAACAAAGGCCTTAACTCAACCTTTCTCTGTCTAATCCCAAAGAAAGGGGGAGTCTTGGAAGCAAAAGACTTTAGGTCAATAAGTTTGATAGGGAGCATTTATAAAATTTTGGCTAAAGTCTTGGCCAATAGACTTAAAAGCAGTCCTTGAAGATCTTATTTCCCCAATCAATTTGCCTTTGTGAATGGGAGGCAGATCATGGACAGCATTCTAATCGCAAATGAGTGTGTGGAAGACAGAAAATCCACTGGGAATCCAGGGGTCCTAGTGAAATTAGATCTAGAGAAGGCGTATGATAAAGTGAATTGGGACTGTATCCTTGATTGCCTGAAGATGAGAGGTTTTGGTAACAGATGGATCAAGTGGATTAAGGGTTCCATTGGTTCCTCTTGGTTTTTGGTGTTGATATATGGCGAAGCGAAAGGCTACTTCAAGGCTAGTAGGGGTCTCAGACAAGGTTGCTCGCTCTCTCCCTTTCTGTTCACTTTAGTAATGGATATCTTTAACTACCTTTTCAATAAGGCAACACTCCTCAACTTGGTGAAAGGTTTTGAAGTGGGAAGGAACAAGGTTCATATCTCACATTTACAGTTTGCTGATGACATAATCTTGTTCTTGGATGCCTCCTTGAACAACATCACAAACACTAAAAGGATAATTGAATGTGGTGAAACGGTCACAGGTTTGAGGGTCAACTTCTGCAAAAGTTCTATGGTTGCTCTGAATTCAGTGGAAGTGGAACTCTTGGAGAGCTTCAAATCTTTATTGGGGTGTAAAGAGGAGAGTCTTCCTATCTCATACCTTGGGATGCCTCTTGGAGGGAATCCAAAGTCTCTCAATTTCTGGAAACCAGTGGTGGAAAAATGTGAGAAGAAACTTTCAGCTTGGAAGAAATGCTATCTCTCAAAAATGTGAGAAGAAACTTTCAGCTTCAAAGGAACTTTCTTTGGGAAGGAGGTGGGGAAAAGAGGAGTCATTTAGTCAGTTGGAAACAAGCTTGTAAGCCTAAAGAGGAAGGAGGCCTGGAAATTGGACACTTAAAAGAGAAAAATTCTTCTCTTTTAGGTAAATGGCTGTGGAGGTTCCCTAAAGAACCTAATGCTCTTTGGACTGCTGTCATATCAAGTAAATACGGATCAAATGCAAACGGGTGGGATAGCAATCTTCATTTGAACAGGATAAAATCCACAAATCCATGGAAAGGTATCATCGCCACCTATTCTTCTTTCTTTCCTTTCATAAGATATAAAGTAGGAAATGGCTCAAAAATAAAATTCTGGAAAGACCTTTGGTGGGGGGATTCTACCCTTGCTGCCTCCTTCCCTAGACTCTTTATCCTTACCCTTGACCAAGAAGCCTCCATTTCTGCCTGCCTTCCAGACCAAACTGTTGTGAACACCCTAAACCTTTGACTCAGAAGACCCCTAAGGGATTCAGAAATTTCTGAATTAATATCTTTAATTGAGTTCAGACCCTTAAAGAAGCTTACATCTCCCCCTCCAAGTCTGACACCCAAATCTGGACCCTTCACCCCACTGGCGATTTCTCTTCTAAATCTATGTTCAAGGCTTTGATTACTGATAGTCATCATCCTCCCTTTCCTTTTAAAAAGATGTGGTGCAGCCACAACCCCTCAAGAGTTTGCTTCTTTGTCTGGGAAGCTTGCCTCCAGAAAATTAACACTTGGGATCTCTTGCAAAAAAAGTTTTTGGGAAGACTGTTTATTTCCCCTCATGTTTGTATTTTATGCCTCAGTGAAGGAGAATCAGCAGATCACATCTTCCTTCATTGCAATTTCACCCAAAAGATTTGGTTCCATTTTCTGAAAATGGCAGGCTACAGTTGGACTATACCAAAGGATGTTAAGGACCTTCTACATCAGTGGCAGGGAACAGGGTTAAGTAAGAGGGGTATAACTTACTGGCAATCAGTGTTACATGCAGTGTTGTGGGGTGTTTGGGACGAAAGAAACAAAAGGGTTTTTGACAACAAACTAAGGTCCCTGGAGGAGTTAATTTTAGACATTTCTTACTTGTGCAATCTATGGACGGTGAATTCAGATCTGTTCAATGTAGTCTCAGTCAATGACCTCAATAGAGATCTTTTCCCCTTTCTATTTCTTCCTCACCTCCATCAACCACCCTTGAGATTTCCTGATCCCATCAGTGAAGGGGTGTTAAACTTTGATGGCAGTGCTCTAGGTAATCCCGGATTAGCTGGTAGTGGAGGAACATTAAGGGATGAAATGGGAAACATCTATTGGTCTTTCAGTGACCCAATTGGCATGGCAGATTCCACTAAGGCTGAAGTTTTGGCTGCCCTCACAGGAATCAGAATAATAAAAAATTTGGGAATTCAAAATGTAATCATTGCAGGTGATTCAGCCAACACTCTAAAATGGTTAAGAGACAAAGAGGGAGGGCCTTGGAGATTAAGTCACTATCTTGAAGAGGCCAGGGACTATTTGGATTGCCTAAATGTAAAGTTAGTTTGGATTCCAAGGGAATACAATCATACAGCAGATGGCTTAGCTAAATGCGGAGTGTTCTTAGAGCAACTTTATAGCGACAAGCTTCCTCCTTTGTAATTTACAGGGGTTCTTCCCCTGCTTTGTACATCTCCCCATGTACCTCTTTTTTTATTAATGGATCTTGGTTATCTTTTCTCAAAAAAAAAAAAAAAGTGCACTGCATCATGGAATTCCATTTCCATTATCCATAGGGCAGAGCCAAGTTATTGGCTTGTAATGAAACATATTGTCGTTTCTTTGAAGGATAGACATTATCAGAATGAAAACATTGTAATGCTGGGGTAAAAGTGAAGGAATAACTACCACACCTTTGTTATTATGATATAACTTGCTTACTATAAGATAGAGATGAGAAATACAATAAAAGCATCATCCTTCTGTAAAATTTGAGATGTATTTATGACCAAGGATTAAAACTTTGATGCTCTTTCTGCTTTCAAGGGCAACCAGAATTAAATACACGAGGAATTTGAGATACCTATAATTTTGTTATGATATAGTTATTAAATAGCATGAGATATAGATAAGTATAAGAATTTAACTAGATAGGATTTTAAAAGAAGAAAAAATAGACAGAATGAGAAAAAAGTAAGGAGAGGTAAATCTTAAAAGCATATACTTCTTATTTATCATTATTACAAAAATTCTTGAAAATTTGATGAGACCTTTACATTCCAGCAAAAGTTTGATGAAAATTTTGGTTGTGAATGAAATTGAAACCTGGTGTGAATTTTTAATGTAAATCCTTGTTTATGCCTTAGGATGAATTTTGTGGTCTTGTTCTTTTCCCCATTTTTCTTTGAGCTGGAATTTTTTACATCATACCCAAAATGTTTTGGTGGTAAAAGCATCTTTTGGGGTGTTTGACAGTATGACCTGTTTTCCATGTTGCCAGTTTCAGAAAACTAGGCTACACTGCTTTTCTCAGCCCAAACCATGAAACTAGTTTGTTTAGGTTATTGAAAATTCTAAAATTGTTACTGTAAGCTATACTTTAATTGATTTTAACTATGGGGGACATATGATGTCATGTGATATTTGGGTTCCCCATGTGTTGTTTAGTCCCTTTTTTCCTTCAATGTACCAAAGAAAAAAATCCCAAAGTTAGGCTCCACAGTGCTACATAAGCTTCTCTAATTGAAAACAGCTTTTGTAAACCTAGTTTTTTTCCCACCAAAGCAGCTTCTTTTCGTTGAATCTGCAATTGATCATTCTTCCATTGCAAAATACATTTATCAAAAAAAGAGCCACTGCAAAATGCCCCCTTTGATACCAGCAGAAGTTCTACCATGTATATGAAATGCCATACAACATTTATTTTCACTTGACAATATGGTTTGATGGAATAAGCTGTGCATACCACATATTACAAAATAAGTTCTTTGCTGATTGATTTTGTTAACTAATTTCATAGACTGTGGGACCTCGGTCAGCAGCGATGTGTGCATTCTTATGCTGTACATACAGATTCTGTTTGGGCGCTTGCAAGCAGTCCAACATTCAGTCATGCTTATAGTGGTGGGAGGGACCTTTCTGTAAGTAACATTTCTTTAAAAGTCTATGGATCTTTCTGATTTGGTTTAGTATGAAAAATAATAGATAAAAAGCAGTAAAAGAAGGATGAAAGTGTAGAAGAGAAGGAGAAAGAAAAGAACCACAATTTGAGGAGAAAAGCAAGCTATGCATCCTGTCTTTCTTCCTCTATTTATATTATAAACTACATAGGGACAAAAGGGCTAAAATACCCTTGGTTGCAATGACCTATAATATTTAACACTCCTCAAGAGGTGCATAAAGGTTGATCATTTCCTTTGTTTGCCAAGATTATGTTCTTAGAGCTGGCCACCGCTTTGATGAATGCATCTGCTAATTGCATCTCTGACATGATGAAAGGTAAATAAACCTTCCCAAACAACTCTTTCTTGAATAAAATTTCAATGAAGCTCAATATGTTTAGTCTGATCATGCTGGAAAGGGTTGTGAGCTATATTGATGGCTGCTTGATTGTCACAATAGAACATCAATACCAACCTCTTTGAAAAGTACACAATCACAATATCTTAGTGGCATCATGTGCCATAGTTCTATACTCAGCCTCTACATATCCACTTATTTTCAAATATTATTTTGTACATTTTATTTATAAGTATAGGTTGTAAATATATCTTGTACATTCTGTACATTTTATTTATAAGTAGATGTTGTAATTATATTTTTGTATATTTTATTTTCAAATGTCACTTACGAGTCACCTACCAAGAAAAGTGGCTTAAGAGCCAACCTATTGCTTTTCCCTTGGGGTGCTCATCAAAAACCGAAAAACCAAACTGAACCGAAATATCTGGTTAACCGAACTGGTCGATTCGGTTTTGGTTAACCAATATGAAAAACCGGTGGTTAACCGAAGTTATCGAACCAACCTGTATATACTATATTACTATATATATTTATATATTATATAAATATATATATTTAATGTATAATATATAATATATTATATATTATTTATAATCTAATATATTATATATTTATATATTTATATATGATATATATTATAAATATAAAAAACCGAAGAACCAAACCAATTGCTCCCTACTAACTCTGTCATTATGAAGATCCACTTATGCCAAACTGGATCCTTGTCTTTAGGTAAATATAAAACTTTCTAAGTTTGATTCTTTAAGAGAGCATCTATCTCAAGGTCCACAACCTCCTATTAGGGATAAGACATAATCTCAGTCACACTCTTTGATATAGATGTTTGAGAAATGGAGGCAAGGAAATTGATATGGAGACAAACACCTGTAATATAAATGCTGTTAAATGGAATGAGCAATAGATTCATACTTACCCCTGCTTAGAGTGGTAGAAAGATGGAGATCACAGGGAACATTAAAGGTCAAAGAATCAGTATTAAAGAGGTTTTGAGGTGAGTGGCTGGCCTCTGGTCTATCTAGGTCAAAGAATCAGTATCAAAGAATCGTTGATCTGCTTTGTTGTTCTGTTGTTGGGGTGTTATCTTAACACCCGGTTATTGCTTGTATTCTGTTCCTTTTTTCCTTTTAATGAATTTTATTTTTTACCTTTCAAAAAAATGATTCAACCATGGGAAACGATAGACAACAAGAAGTAGAAAAAGGGTGAAAGAGTAGAAAATGAAGAAGACAGGAGAGAAATGACAAACTATATAGTCTTTGTTCCTCTATTTATAAAAAATTTATATTATAAACTATATAGAAAGAAAATAACAAAAAAATATCCCTGGTAGTAACATTCAACAAGTATCAATTATGCTTGGTCTTCCTTGTCAAATTCTTCTCTTTTGCATGACTTTTTAATATTTAAGAAAGATAAATCATGTACATCATACCTCGCTTTTCTTTTACATGACTATTGTGTTGCTTTGCTTGCTGTTTGGTGCACATTCTGGATGTGGTTTCAGGTATACGTGACAGATTTGGCAACAAGAGAGAGTGTTTTGCTTTGCACAAAAGAACACCCTATTTTGCAACTTGCTTTGCATGATGACAGCATATGGGTTGCAACAACAGATTCTTCTGTACATAGGTGGCCAGCTGATGGACGTAACCCTCATAAGGTTTTCCAAAGAGGTGGTTCATTCTTGGCTGGCAACTTGTCCTTTAGCAGGGCAAGAGCTTGCTTGGAAGGGTCTACTGCTGTAAGTCTGCCTTTCCCTGTTTGTGCAATTATTCTATTAGCAATATTTTTTTTGATTAGCAACAGTAATCTGAAATTTTGTTTAGTAGGTAAAGTATCAATACTCAATATAATTGGAATGAACAGAGAATAATATAAAACAAACAAAGGGCTAAGTGGCTAGCATCTGAGTGCCAATTAGATCGACATTATAAAGTTCAGATGAGGTGTTCGTATGATTCCAGATCAGAAGGAGAAGAAGAAGGAGGAGGAGAGAAAGAATAGTCTCAGCCGAACTAGAGAGAAAAGACACACCTTCTCTAGTCAGCCACTCTTTTATTTATACTTTTCTAAAATACACAAGAATTACTATTGTGCCCTCACTTAAGTGAGAGCCACATCAGCTAAACAACTAATATATAACTTAACATAAAATGTCTATACTACCCTTCTACAGCCGACTCTAACAGTTTAAAATTTCATCCCTGGGCTTGATGCCCTATTCGATCAGAACATGCAGAACATGACTTTTCAGTCATCATTCTGTTGTATACTGATGCTTTTGGTGTATGTGACAGTATTTTTAATTTGGTATACAAAGGTGGTTTTTTTTTTTAATGGTTTTGAAGAGTGAAGACTTCCCCCGGATTTATTCTCCACTACCAGCTAGGTCTATTCTCTCTCAGATATAATGTTGATCTTTGGGCATGCAAATTTTCTCAGTAATCTATTTCATAGTTGCTCAGTCTAAAAAACATCTTCTTTTATTATAGCTGTGGTCTTGTGGGCCATTTTTGAGATTTCATATGGTTGTGTATTTTAGTTAATGAAACTGCTTCCCCCTTTTTGTCTTCCTTCATTATCTTTTAATTTGATGTCAAAAACTCTTGAAGTTTACTATTGAACTTGGTTTTCTATTCCTTTGTATGCAATGTGATTTACTTTGGCAAATGGTTTTGTCCTCTATAATTAAGTTGTTTTTTACAGTTCAGTGGTATTTTTGATTATTTGACCTCCATGAACACAAAGCTGCAATGATGTCATGACCTCCCTAGTGGCTTGGTTTTCTCATTACATAGATCGGCATCCTTTAGGCAATAGCAGGGACCATGTATATTTCTTTAATAGAAGTCGAACATTGAAGCTGCTTGGTCATTGGTTGAAATACACGTTTAAAGAAAATTAAATAAAAAATTCTAATTTCGATCCTGTTTTTGGTTGATTTAAACCACTTAAGGACACTTGGAACTGAAATAGAAAAAAGCTAAAGAGCCAAAACAATATATATTTGAGTTTATGAGACTCATTGAATGTCCCTCACAATGTTAAATTATGTAGGAAACAATTCAAGGACTAATATAAAATCCTTTAGGTTTTGAATGAAAACTACTGTACCCAGAGAATAGGTCACCAAGAAGTGCATACGAGAAGTGTTGTGTCTCTAAATCCTCAGAGACTTAATTTATACCACAGTGAGCTCCTAAAGAATAGTGGTAGGTATGTTTCAATATGGACTTTTAGAAGACAATTTCAAGGATGGGGAAGGTGGTCATTGTGACCTTAGTGAATGTTTGGTTCATTTAACCCTTCTCTGTACTTCATGTAATTATATTGTTCTGATTTTGGATTTCTTGATGATTTATACTGGTAGCATTCTAATAAGCTATTATGGGCAGTCTGACATTACATTGCAACTTTTCTATTAGTTTCTAGAAGTTGCCCTTTTTCCTTTTTTGGTTTTGTTTGATTTCTTGCAAATGCTAGTCTTTTGGCCTTGAGAAGTATTTATTATTTGTCCTTTCCAGGTCCCTGTTTACAAAGAACCATCATTTACTATACCTGGAACTCCAGGAATTGTGCAGCATGAAATTTTAAATAATAGAAGACATGTCTTGACTAAGGTGATTATGATTCTTCCCCTCGATATCATGTTACAAGTAGTGCTATTTATAGATACTAAGTGACAGACATGATTTCAAATGTGGTCGTTTTGGTTACTATATTTATAACCTAATCTTCTTTTACCTTTTTTTCTCATAGGATACTGCTGGATCAGTGAAGCTATGGGAGATCACCAGGGGCATTGTGGTTGAGGACTATGGCAAGGTTGTGTGATGAACTTATTCCTTGTGTTTCATTGTTGGTTGAATTGACATTATTGTTATTTCTCTGGATACAAGGCAAAAAATACTGAAATCATAAATTGAGCCTTTTTCTTTCAGGATTTAGTCTTGTTAGCAAGTATTGATGATTGTAATGGTTAATTTGCAGGTTTCGTTTGAGGAGAAGAAGGAAGAGCTGTTTGAGATGGTTTGTACAATAAATTTTTGGGCTTAATGCTGTGCAGAATTTTGTCTTGCAATTTTAGGTCATCAGATGATCATTCTGTTTTGATTGCCTTTTGGGTTCTCCAGGTAAGTATTCCTGCGTGGTTTACTACAGATACCAGGCTTGGAAGCTTGTCCATCCATTTGGATACGCCACAATGCTTTTCTGCAGAGATGTACTCTGCTGATCTGAACATAGCTGGGAAACCTGAAGATGATAAGGTGAAGATTTTTAGTTATCTTGTTTATGTACTTTGCTTATTTGTTCTTATTTGCTGAAGGCCCAAAATTTTGAAAGCTAATCTCAGGCAGTAAATGTATATAAGTATATTTAATATAGATAATCTCTGCAGTGATGTACTTTGCTTATTTCTCTGTTATCTTTTACCTCTTATAGTTGATGCATCATATGATATCGTGTTAGAAACTTGCTTTCTAAAGATCCATGACATCATGGAGTTATTCTGCAAACTAATAGGTCACTATTGTCCGATTGCCCTAACTCCTTGCTACCTCTTAGTATCAATCAGTGATTTAAAAGGCACGCCTAGGCGCACAGGCGAGGCACATTTTGGGGTATGCACCTCGCCCAGGTCCTAGGCGCACGCTTGGTGTGCTTTGCGCCTCAGCCCAGGTGTGCGCCTTCTTAAAATTTTGCGCTTTTTGCTTTTTTTTTTCAAGAACCCCATAGTTTCTAATGTTGTTCATTCATTCATTGCAATAAAATATCTTTTTAAAAAGCAATGAAAGTTATAAATTCATTATTTTTTATGTGAGAAATAAGAATTTCAGACCCTAAGATAGACTTGTTCGGGCTTGCCTTGAGGGGCGTGGTACAAAGGCGACTCATAGAATCAAGAATGCAATATGTTTTGCATCACATTAGCTACTTGAAGCAATGCAATTAAGGAAAAAAAGAGATTGTGGGTTTACATGCTTGAAAATGCTTTATATGTTTGCTTTTATTTTTAAATTTTCATTTGAATACGCTTTACATGTTATGCTTATGTATTTTAATTTTAGATAATAGGTTTTTTAAAACATTTATTTTATAATTTAAGTTTATATTTTTTATTTACATTATGTTTAATATTTTTTGAATTTTTTGCATTTAAAAAAAAAATTTTGGCTTCTTTTTTAATTTTCTGACCTTTTTTTTTGATTTTTTTAGATTTTTTTTTTTGTAATTTTGCGCCTTGCTTAAAAAGGCGCACGCCTTGCCTTGCACCTCAGGCGCAAATTGGCCCTTGCGCTTTTTTTGCGCCTTGTGCTTTTAAAACACTGGTATCAAATTATAAATGGCTAATTTCACTCTGAGAGAGCAATCTCAGTTTCATTTTCTGACTCATCAAAGGCTACCGTGTTCTTACAGATGCTAAATGCCAATATACAGTTTTTTTGGATCAGTAAATGCCAATATACAGTTATTGATAAAAAATGCCAATATACAGTTGCTGTTACTGTTTTAATCAAGTTTGGATTCTGTGATTCTATGGAGTGAAAGGTCATTGATCTTGTTGGTATGTGGTGGAAATGCATTAATTGCTTGATTAATTATTCGGTCTTAATTTGTTGGAATTGTTGTGTTTAATATTGTTGACTTTCCTACAGTGCTAAGGAAGGTTATAAAAAAGGCCAAATGGTAATGCGATGAACATTTTGGGAAAAATGTAATTGTTGAAACTTATCACTGTTGGCTATTGTTTGGTTGATTTTAAAGACATTCCATCTATGATCTATCACCGTTATTACCACTGGGTCGTTTTTGCTTCTGCCCCGCCCCCTAGTCCTTCATATGCAACAAAAGTTTGCATAAGGTTTTGATTTCAAGAATAAAAAATATGATAAATTTGGTAAAATGTACATGGAATGATGAAAAGATAGGGCTGAAGATGAATATATTTCTAATATGTTCTTTTAAAAATGCAGAATGAAAAACATGACATATTTTGTGTATAATCTATTAAATATATGCATTTGTATTAATGAAATCAAATTTATATGTTGAAAAAACTATATGAGAAAATGTTAATTCTTCTACCAAGCTCTATATATGTTAAACTGCTGTTTCTGTTATTGTCATGACTTTAAATTTCTTGTTCAATTCTAGGAGTAAGTCTTAATTCTAAATCCATTTGCAGGAGCTTAATTTATGAAACATATATTTTTAGAGTTCAACTACAGTGCATTCACTAATATTGGCTGCGCATTAAATTCAGATCTCAACCAATCACATTAAAGTCTGCTTACTTTTCATCAGTTCATGTTTCACAAACTGTATTTTCATTTTTAACAATATGCACTTACCATCATGTTCAACGAATCACGTCTGTTGCTGCATGGTGCAATGGATGCACCATAGGATTTGCCATATTTTTATTAGTTATATTAGGTTGTATTATATTGCTGCAGAAATATAAGAAGGGGCCAGGCACTATTGTATTTTCTCATGTACAATGTGTACATGGGTGATGGAATTTCCAATTATTACAATTCAGATCTATAAACCCCACCAAAATGGGAAAAAAAAAAGGTAAAAGAGATCCTAGCTCCACCTTATCTATATCTTCCAATTTGGGGCATCTCTTGGATTCAAACATATAATTATCTGTTGCTGTCAAATTCTCCCCAGTATTGTAAAGAGAGTTATGTTCCAATGGATATGAAACATTAATATTTCTTATCTAGGTTTATTCAAACAAATGGTTCTTTATTAATTTCATGAAATCTACAGGTCAATCTAGCACGTGAGACCCTTAAGGGTTTATTGGTTCATTGGTTGGCCAAAAGAAGGCAAAGGTCTGGACAACAAGCTTCAGCAAATGGTGATCCATCAGCAAGGGATATGGCTGTTAGAAGCCATACTCACTCAAGAGTTGAGATTGATGGTAACATGGAGAATGACTTTATGGTCTATCCTCCATTTGAGTTTTCGACAGTTTCCCCACCTTCTATAATTACTGAAGGCTCTCATGGAGGTCCATGGAGAAAGAAAATAACTGAGTTGGATGGCAGTGAAGATGAGAAGGACTTTCCATGGTGGTGTCTGGATTGTGTTTTGAATAATCGGTTACCACCCAAAGAAAATACCAAGTAATGTTCTGACTTTAATTCACCTCTCTTTTTTCAAAGACCTTGCATCAAAGGGCTTATATTACAAAGGTGGTTTTTCTAATGTTGAATCTTTGACAAAAGTAGACAAATTTTGAATGAAAAATTCTTACAGTGTTCTAGAATACACTGAATAGCTCATAGCTCAAACATCTGTACTCTTATATATAATTAAGAATCTTGGATATCCTAAATGAGACCTAACAAAGGAAGTTCTTTCTTGACATAGTGTTGTTTTCTGCAGGTGCAGCTTTTACTTACATCCATGTGAAGGTTCAACAGCCCAAGTTCTTACACAAGGGAAACTGAGTGCACCTCGGATACTGCGGATACATAAAGTAAGGTCATTTAGATCATTTGCCTTGTACTTAATTTATTTTTAGATCAGATGATATTTGAAATGGCTCTCCAGAAAATTTATTTATGAGTATCCTACCTGTAGATTATTTAGTGGATTTCCTGAGACTAGATGATTTTTGTATGATTGGGCCTGGAGGGCAAATGGTTTTGGATATCTGTATCACTGGATATGCCTGCCACTGATAATTTCATCATACATGTATCAATCAACAAGATGCGAAATGCATAATGATTGATAAAGAGAGAATGAGCTAAATTGTTTTTTTTTTAATCTTTTATGATGTTTAACATATAAAGAAACCATGCACAAAACTAGACTGTTAACAATTGAGGCATGGATAAAGGTGAAGTGTGAAAGCAAAATCAGGTATAAGTTTTTCTTGTTGGGAAAAATGCTAGTAGGCAACAGCTTTGTTGCAGTACACCCAGTTGGAAGAAAAGAGAGTCCATCCAGAAGTGGCTATTAACCACTGAAAGTTTATTTTTTGAAAGCATCTAATGTTATTCTTTTTACAAGTGGGTCCCTGTTCTCATTTTCTCTCTTCTTTCCAAATAATAAAAATAGGATCTCCATTTCCACTTCTTCCCTTTGTTTTATTTACATTGAACCACTTATCTCGTTGGGCAATTCTACCAGTGATCACATCTTCATTCTTCCTTTTTAGAAGGCTTGACCTGTTCCAAACAATGCTCTATATTGTGTGAACATTGGGAGAAGGATTATACATACATATATATTTTACAGATGTTCTTTGTCTTATATGGACTTGTTTAAGGAATTTATTTTTGTTTCTACAGGTTATTAACTATGTCGTAGAAAAGATGGTTCTTGACAAGCCATTGGATGGTGGAAATTCTGATGGAACATTTGCTCCAGGTTTGCCTGGAGGACAATCACAACTCGCAACACTTGGAGGGGATGGCTCCTTCCGCCCTGGCTTGAAGCCCTGGCAAAAGCTAAAACCTTCCATAGAGATTTTGTGCAATAACCAGGCAAGTGAATATTGGCTGATATTTAAGAAAATACTTAATAGCTTGTTAGCAAGTTAATTGGTGAGTTGGGAGGTTTTGACTATATTGGAACAAGGAACCAAAAATACCTCTTGAATCAACATGGTTATAAACCCATTAAAAAAATTCATGGTTCTAATGTTACGGGTTTTGGAATCCATGTCCTTCGAAATCCAAGATTTTCATCTCATCAACTTAACTGTCGTAAATATTGTTGGTTACCCGTTCTTGTTGACTTGTATTTCAGTGTTCTCTCTGCTGAATATTTATCTTGTTGTCATATGGTACCCATTTCCCCTCATGTTGTTAATCTTTAAGTTTGGTTATCCTCAAAGTGAAACAGAGAAAAATTTCAAGATTCACCAGGAAAATCTTAAAACAAGCATTTGATTGGTAGAAAGTTGGTGGGGGTCTTAATAAGTATATTCTTGATAAGAAAAATTATCTTGTTAGTGGCAGTTATTTCCTTATTGAGGGTGAAGTGGATAATTGGTTTTTTGGCCCTACTTGACTATTGCATTTTCTTACCAGATTCAACTCAACTCAACTAATCCTTGTCCTGACTATATGGTGTTGGCTACATGAATCCTGTTCTACCATTTGCTCTGATCAGTTCCATGTCCATTATTAAATTATGAGCTTAACTTACTTCTTACTACTTCAACCCATGTCCTTGTGGTTTGCCCTTACCTCTTCTAGATCCTCCAACTTGTAAGTTGTAACAGATCACTAACTGGTGCTGTAGCTAGTCTTTTCTGTACGTGATCACACCATCTTAGTCTACTTTACATCATCTTCTTACCTATTGGAGCTACTACATGTTTCCTTCAAATATGTTTATTTTTAATCCTGTCCTTTCTAGTTTTCCCACTCATCCATCTCAACCTTCTCATTTTTGTTAACTTAGTTTTGGGCATGCCATTTTTTGATTGCCCAACACTCAGATCCATACAACATTTCTGGCCTTGAAACTATTTCATAAAATTGTTTTCAAGCATGTAAAACCCACAATTTCTTTTTTTCTTCAATTGCATTACTTGAAATGTAAAACATCTTGCATTCTTGATTCTACGAGCTCCCTTTTTACCAAGTCCCTTGAGGCAAACCCAAATACATCGATGCTTGGGTCTTAAATTCTTATTCCTTACAAAAAATGATTTTATAATTTTAATTGTCCTTTAAGAAGATTTTTTTTTTTGAGAAAATTTAACCAGAATTTATTAAGAAGAAAGAGGGGGGGGGGGATCAAGGGAAGATATACAAAGCAGGGGGGAACCCCTACAAGTTACAAAGGAGGAAGCTTGTCGCTATACAAATGCTCCAAATACACACCAAATTTAGCTAGGCCATCTGCAGTATGATTGTGTTCCCTGGGAATCCGAACTAAATTAACATTCAAACCATCCAAAGAATCCTAAGCTTCAGTCAGATAGTGATACAGTCTCCAAGGGCCCCCCTCTTTGTCTCTTAACCATTTTATCATATTTTCTGAATCACCTGCAATGATCAAATTCTGAATTCCCAGATTCTTTATTATCCTGATTCTGGTGAGAGCAGCCATCACTTCAGCCTTTGTGGAGTCAGCCCAGCCGATTGGACCACTAAAAGTCCAGCAAAAATTGCCCCTTTCGTCCCTTATTGTACCACCAATACCTGCAAGTCCTGGATTGCCTAAGGCACAACCGTCAAAATTAAGGGTTATCACACCTTCACTGATGGAGACAGGATGCCTCAAGGATGTTTGCTGGGGATGAGGGAGAAACAGAAAGGGGTGAATATCTCTGATAAGATCATTGACTGAAAGTCCTTTGAACAGAGCTGAATTCACTGTCCAAAGGATGCAAAGATAGGTAGTATCTGAGATTAACTCCTCCAAGGTTCTGCTTTTATTGTCGAAGATGCGGTTGTTTCTTTCATCCCAAACACCCCACATCACTGCATGTAGCACTGATTGCCAAAAGACTTTACCCCTTTTGCTAAGCCCTGTTCCTTGCCATTGATTCAAGATGTCCATAATGTGTTTTGGAAAAGCCCAGCTGTAACCTGCCATATTCAAGAAGTGGGACCATATCCTTTGAGTGAACCTACAGTTAAGAAGATATTTTACTAGGATGATGAATGAGCAACATTAGTAAATGGGGGGTTGTTGAAGCTTTGGTGAGTGGGGCTTGATTGGGGGTCCAAGAGCGGAGCCCCCAGCCCAGCCACTAGGTTCAAAAAAGAACAAAAAGTACAAAAAATAAAAAAGGTGCATGCCCGGGCTGAAGTGCAAGGCAGGTGTACACCTTAAAATGCTTTTGAAAGTCCTGCGCCTGGGGTCTAGGCAAGGCGCATACCTTAAAATGCACCTCACCTTAAGCGCCTAGGCATGTCTTTTAAATCACTGGGTGCATGCAATACATGAGATTTTGAAGTTTTTGTTTTAATAATCCTTATTGTTAATTTATATTGAAGTCTTTTATATTTTGTATTTACTTATAGATGTCCTTGTGTTGTCACTTCGGGAGGTCAATATTGGCAGATGCCCTTGGGCAAATACTTTACCCCCATGCCACATTCACATAAAAGTCAACAATGTTTAGGAGTTGGACACACCAAGACAGTTAAATGCCAGATTTGTTAAATGTTAACTAGAGAGTTGAACAACTGCCCCAATTGCAACCACCCCCTGTTTTTCAAAATATTGTATTTAGTAAATGAGGCCATTGTAGATTTTATTTTGGCACTTTTTCAGGTCTTATCTCCTGACATGAGCTTAGCAACAGTTCGAGCATATATATGGAAAAAGAGTGATGACCTAGTCCTCAATTACAGAGTAATACAAGGTCGATGATTCCTTAATGAGGTGAGTACTTGACTTATTTAGGATATTCTCTGTTCAATATTCTTTTTTCTCCTAGTTCAAGATATAAAAAATCAGTTGACTTGATGAATTTTGGCTTTGACCAAATTTTCTCAATAGGTTTCTTTCTACAGAATTTAATAATTTTTTACTTCATAGGATGTAATTGATTTTTAATGTTCCGAGTCATTGAAAGTCCCCAGGGTTTATGAACCAAACCTTTCATGTCAAATTTAACCTTGTCATTAGCACAATTAAGTTGATTTACAATCACATTTAAAACTTAGAATATACAATCCTTACTAAACAGGTTCAACTCAGCACAACTCTAAATCCGAGTTCGTAAATATTTGCACTTTAATATTCTGATGTATCCCCTGTTTTTTGCTGTTTTGTTATAGATGTTTGTGGAGTTGGATTTTCTCGCCTGTTGCGATGGAACCACCATTTGCTAGGCATGTAAATTACGGGACTGTAACTGAATTCTCCAGGGCTGCTGGTTGTGATCAGAACTGGTTTTCCTGTAAATTTGGAAAGCTGATCAGTTGATGAAGTGTCATTGAAATTTGCAGATTTTCCATGGAGAAAATTCCTAGCTCGATGCTTGATATTTCAATACATTATTTGTGATACGAGCATGCAGGTGGGTGGTTATTGGTGAGGATGTATGCATTTTCAGCACAGTTAGCTAGGTCCGAGAGGTTGCGCGATTGTGAAGGAGAAAAACAGGATGTGGAGAATGTGAAAGAGCACGGGTTTACCCCCACTAAAGGAGCATTTAGGTTAGAGATAAAGATGATAACGAAAGCTATGTACTGATCAAAAAAGTAAAAAAAAAAAAAGAAAAAGATGTCGAAAGCTGTGTAGATGTGGCGGTGCCTAACAGAACTCTCTCTTTGAGGAAGTAATTAGATCTGTTGGATATAAAATAATCTCTGTTTTTGTCAAACAGGTTATTCAATATATATTTATTTATTCATTTTCATGCCCCTTTCCCTTCTACTATTATTTTGGCTTCAGAATCATTGAAGTTTATGAAATATCACGTAAGGTTTTCTTTAAATTGCTATCTGGTTTGATGTTCTTTTCAATTGTGGCAAGTACTGTAGATTCCGATGAGATTTGAAAGGATGCATTCGAAACAAACAGGAAGAAAACTGAGTGTTTGATTAATGACAAAAGTCCACAGTAATCCCCTTTTCTTTTCTTTTCTATTCTTTTCGTCTTCTTTTTTTNTTGCACAACAAAATGGTTATACGTCGGTAGAGTAGTGGTAGTTTTTTTTTTTTTTTTTTATCAATTCTAGTTCAGAGGGGCCGATATAAGGTCTGTCCACCCCTTAAACCGGTCAAAACCCCGATGCACCCTCTGTAGGGGTGTATTGGGAAGCTCTTGATGCGATACATATTAGCCGACGCTCATATCCAATCCAACCCTTCGAAGACCCGGTGAGAGTAAAATTTCTTTCAGTATCTTAACTCATTGAGTGGATTTGATGGGATTATAGATAAAAATAACTCACTGATTGGATTTAAAAATTAATATTTAATTATATTACCTTATATATGATAGGGCAAATTTTTTAAAGTACCTCTAAATTTTAGGAAATTGAATCAATTTCTTACTTTAAAATTACTTACCCCTAGTGTTTAGGAATTGTCTTAAAGTGCCCCTAATTTTTCTAACAATTGATTAAATCCTTCGATTGTTGGTTCCATTAATGGAAATATGAAAAAGAGGACTATGTCACCCATCATTCTTCTTTAAAATTTTAAAATGAAACATTTAAACAAGAAACTTCCAAAACCAGTTACGAGCAAGAAACTTCTAATATCTTCAAACAAATTAATTCACAGTCAATACTCCAAATCCAGTTATGAACAAGATCAAATAAAAACAAAACCAATGGAGGATTAGCTCTAAGAAGGGTAAAAAATTAATAAAATGTAAAATCTTTGTAAACAACAACTAACTAAATAATGAGAAAAAACTCCAAACCCTGGCATTCTCAGACTCAAACCCTTCTCCCCCAACCATTAACGGCAACAAGCCTTCATTAACGGTGTTCAAATGGCAACCGTGGATTTTAAAGGGGATGATGTTAACGGCAAGTTTCAAACATCAAGAGTGTTCAAAGGGTGAGCTGCTATATGTGTCTAGACTCTAAGAGTTTTTGGTCTTTCCTTTTTTAAATGCTGGTGAAGTGAAAGATCTTTAATATAGATGTGATTTTTAATTATTGATTTTAAAAAATAGTACTCTGCGATAAATGACCTACCTCTTTTACAAAATCAAATAATTCTGCTTGCCAACGTTTTGCAATGCCCATCAACATCTTTGGTGATGAGATCAAATTAATAAACTCTGACCAACGTTTTAGGAGTTCTTCTTCTAAGCGTTGTGCATTTTCATTTCTTGGGAGAAACCTGTTTCAATCCCAGAAGGAATCCAAACTATCTTATTTCTAAGAGAATGCATTGCTGGTTTAGTTAATCCCATAACCTGCATGAACTGGAGTATAAGGATTTCAATGACTATCAAAAGAAATAAATAATATCATTAACTTAACTTAGGATTTTGGAATGCAACCAATGAGGGTAGCCTTCCCCAAACCCCTATTTCCATATTCCGACTGCGAAAAAGAAGAAGCCAAGTTCCATGGTGAAGCATTGAAATTTCTAAGATTTTATGGAAAAAAATTTCATGGAGATAACTACTGGATTATTAGAGACTTTGAAAATTTGAAGAATAATAGAGGGGCAAAATCGACCACCAAGGTAATATTGGGTTTTAAAAAATTATGTATATCACGCGGTTATGTAAACGGATTGTGATGGAACACTAATAGACACTAATCCTAGGGGAGGAGTTAGTCAATTGTCAGAAAACTTGGGGATACTTTAAATCAATTCCTATACGGTAGGGGTGAGTAAATCAATTTCCTAAAATTTAGGGGTACTTTAAGAATATGCCCTATATGATGTGTTGCTATTAAAGTATTTTGGTTAACCAAAGGCAAATATTGGCATTAAATAGTATATGTAGATCAAGGTTCAAAGTATTGACATAGGCTGATACGCCATTGGTACTTTTTTTTTTTAAGTTTTGTTTATTTATTTATTTTTCACAACCGGTTCAGAGGGATCGATTTAAGGCCCGACTACCCTTTGAACCATGGTCTGACCCGATACAACCCCTAGAGGGACGTATTGGAAAGCCATTGGCACGATATGTATCGGCCGATACGGGCCAATATGTATCCATACTTTGAACCTTGACGTAGATCACTAAAGCAGTAGATTGGGGGGGGGGAGGAGTAGAAGATAAAAATTTTGAGAGTTCAATCATAGTGCATTTATTAATGTTGGGTGCATGTTAAATGCACATCTCAACTAATTTTGTTCCAGCTTGTTTAATTTTTCATTGGTTCAAGTTTCACAAAATGTATTTTCAGGTTTAACAAAATACATTATAGATTTTGCCAACTTTGATTACTCCCTCTTTTTCTAAAAGAAGCTAAATTCAAGTCGATTAGTCTTGTTCAAATTCAGTGATAAGTTAATCTGTCCCTCCTTTCACGTTTCTAATTTTCTTTATTAGATTTTTTTTGGTTAAAAATAATTTAAATCCATTCAACACCAATATAGATAATTTCTAGTTCTATTTCTTTGATTTAGACAGTTAAACTTGCCAAAAAGTTCAGTTACACAATTACTAAACAATAATAGTCAGTGTCTAGGTGGTAAACCTGGGCCCAATCTTAAGATTCTGGGTTTAAGGCCCAAGCCCAAGATCAAGTTTGATCTATTCAATTCGAGTCCAATTCGTACAATAATTTGATGTATTTAGGTTGGGTTCGGGCTTGAGCTGGGTTCGGATTAATCAATGAATTCATTTTAAAATTATACATGTATGTATATATGTATATATATATATATATATATTTGTATGAATGCATGTACTGAAATTGGGCTCTGACTGGGTTTGGACTACCTAAAAATTTTGGGCTGGATTGGGCCTACTAAAATTGCACCCCAAATCTTGTGATAGTTGTGATTTTCAGTTTCAGCTTAATTCATTTTAAGGCCCAAGAGTGAGAGGGATTGAGGGAGGACTGGAGGTAGCTAATAGCTGCCTCCATCCATGTGAGCGATCTGACCTAGCGTTTGATTGACACGTAATACAGGAAAGCGTGACAAGTGGGCATGCTCTGCTCTCGTTTCTGACTCTCTAGAACTAGAAGGCAGAGTAGATAACTTTGGCAGTTGCAGTCTACATAAGCATATAAAGCCATCCATCTGATTTCCACTACTTGCTGCAAGTTGCAAGGTAGCAGCGATCCAATCTAACTGCGAAAAGTTTGCTTCTTTCCATTGGAGTTGGTGGCTTTATTCTTCACTTCTCGTTGTCTCATCCAATCCAACAGCGAAAGGTCTACACCCCTACTTCGTCTGTTTTCTCATCATCTTATCTCCACTCTCAAACCTCTCAGGCTCTCACTAATAAAAATCCACAGAACCCGCCAAAACTCACATCTTCCCATCTTTTGCTCAAAAAAGAAGCAAGCCCACCTTTCTCCTTACGAGAAACAGTCTCTCTCTCTCCTCCTCCATCCTTCCTTTTCTTGATTTCTTCCTTCCTTTCTTCTGAAAATGGTTAATTTTAGAGGGGACCCTGGACGTCGCGAACAACAACAGCCGAGATATGTGGTAGAAGAAGCAGCTGAACAAGATGAGCAACTACAACAGCAGCAGCACTTGGCTGCAAAAGTAACGCTGCATGGTCTCTGTGATTTCTGTGGAGAATCCAGAGCTCCCTTATACTGCCGGGCCGACACAGCTAAGCTTTGTTTCTCCTGCGACCGTGAAGTCCACTCGGGGAACCCACTCTTCGGTAAGCACTCTCGCTCGCAGCTTTGCGATGCTTGTGCTTCTAAGCCGGCTTCAATCTTCTGTTCCACGGACAATCTCGTTCTTTGCCAGAACTGCGATTGGGATGCTCATGGTGGTTGCTCTTCCTCATCCTCATCCTCTCTTCACGACAGGAGGCCTCTCGAGGGGTTCTCTGGTTGTCCTTCGGCGGTTGACTTGTCTTCCATTCTTGGGTTTGAAGACGTGGGGAACAAGTCTCTGTTACTGATGGGGGACGCCATGGATGATTGCTTGGTGGTCTCTGGTCCCTATGGATCGATGGGGATGGCTGATAGTTTCACGGATGAGTTAGTACGGGACACTCCTGTTGTTAGTTTTGACGATCTTATTGTTTCGAGTGATTCCACTCATAACTTCCTACCTATGGTGGTTCCTCCTCTTCCCAAGGTAAAAAAGGCTCAGAAAGCTCCCTTTTTCTGTTCAGTTTGTGTTCGTCTTCTAATTTCTTTGAGTATCAAATTCACTTTATTATGTGAATTTGCGCTTGATCTCACTCTAAGTCTCAAACTGTAGTAGTCTGATTTCCTTTACTTTTGGACAGAGGCTCTTGTTAGTCTATGCTTTATAACTATAACTATTTATTAACAGCCTTTTGGATATCGTCTTTGCATCAGAACAGGAAATCAGCTTGTGGGAAACACAAAGAAGAGATATTACGTCAGCTCTGCAAACTGGCAAAGTTGGAGAGAAGCTTGAGTTCAGAAAATGGGGTGGTCGAATCATTTCTTGGACTCCAACCCTCAGTACAGGAACGAAGCTTCCAGACTGGATATGTAGATACAGGAATAGAACATGGGACAGGGCCAACCTTAGCACCTGGTTTCGATGTGAGGTTCCTTTCCCCCTTGGATTAGATTGAATCAGTTTCTTACTTATTGTCACTTCCTTCTTAGCTATTTCTAATCTTGTCATATGAGTGCTTTTGTTTGATTCCAGTTTTGTTTTCAGAAATTTCCTGTATTTTCAGCTTTGTTGTTTCTTGATCAGTTACATGGGAAGTGGTGGTGAAGAACTGAAGGATAGTAGTTGAGGTTGCAGTTCTTGAAGGGTTAATATTCCTTAATTAAATGGTCGCAGTCCTTGGGGCTGGTAAACCTACTTGAGGGTTAGCTTGGGATTCAGGATCCCCCCCCTCTTCCTCTGATGAGAGGAAGGAGGTCTACAAGAATGGTTGTTTCTTTGTTTGTAGTCTGTTTTGGGACTGTTCTATAGGTGGGAATTGACCTCTTCTATAGATCTTTTTGGTATGGGATTATGATGCTTGAGTTGATAACTGATATAGTAGTCCTTGGTATTTGGCCTTGCCACTTTGAGGTCCAAGGTTCTATTGGTGGTGGCTACCTCTTGGGAATTTATAAAGAAAGGAAAAGCCTCACCCAGTGAACTGTTGTGCCCATACACTATAGATCAGACTTGTTATATGGTGGAATTAGGTTGTGATGACCATATGACAGCCAAAGAGCCATTTAGATATACTAGATTTTATCTTGTCTTTTATTCATCCTTTCACATTGTAGAGGATAGACATGGGCATGGATTTGTATTCTTTTTGAGAATTAAATTTTGATGGTTGATTGTGTTGCCAATGTTACTTGATTGACCTTCTAGTGGCTTAAGGATTCTGGTGAAGAAAAGGTTAAAATAAAGCTTTCATTTTAATCCACTATTCCAAACTCCTAATAGTGTATGTTTCTATGACACAGTTACATAATATTGTGCATTTAAATTTTCTTTGGTATAAAGGAATTCTTTATACTCTTTTATGGGGTAATGATGTAGATGGTCCATTTGTAGGGGTTTAATCTGTTGTTTGATTTCTACTTCAGCCTTTGGTTTGGTTTGACTATTTGGATGTTTATGGTTGCTCTGAGGCATTCTGAGGTTATGGTTGACTTGATGTAATGTTCTCGTCTTTTCAATTTAGAAATAGAAGTGATATTTGCCTAGTGAAGCCAAGTATTTGACTTATCTTTATGACAGGTAAATGCATTTCAATGGCATGGTGACTATAGTGAGGCAGCAGATCAGGTTCCCATTTTGATTACCTTTCCAGATAACCGTTCAGAGGAAAATTTTCTAGTTCTTGGTGAACCTGGGGAAGATGGTAGCAGTGGAAGTCATACTAATGTTGGTTGCAAAGAGCAGTCACAGCATCTCATCATCAGAGAGAGCTTGCAAGGCTTGCAAAAAGTTGGTCAGCATGAACCAACCAGAATTGACAGGGACTTGGCGATCTCACGGTACAAAGAAAAGAAGAAAGCAAGAAGGTAATCACACCATTTCCCCTCTTTCAAATTTAAAAGCCTTAACAGTATGAATACAGGGAGGTTCACTCATGAATGTTGGGGCCCATAATCTCAAGAAATTTTGATGTCAAGTAACTTTTAAACAGAACACTGGTTTTAGGTAGCATTTTTCTAATCGCAAGTTTTAGTTATTAACCTAATCAAAATTGGGCTAGGTCCATGTCAGTCTGGAATTTTTTCATCTTTGTTGTCCTGAATCTCAGTACATTCCATCTTTGTTGTTATTAAATTTATATTTAACGAGCTGACTCTTATAATTGGGAAAAAACAGATACAACAAACACATCTGGTATGAATCCCGGAATGTTCGTGCGGAAGGCAGGACAAGGATCAAGGGGCGTTTTGCTAAGGCTAATGACTGAAGTACTAGCTAACATGTGAATAGGAACTCTACACCTGGTTTTTCTAGATCTATTTTGGTGCACTCTATACTCTTCTTTGGTTTTATGTTGTATATTAGCATCTGAAGTCAAGTAGTGGCAGTAGTTGCAGTTTGTAAGAAACAGACCATGATCATTCATGGTCATGGTAATGCATATTTGGGTAAAGAGTTCAAGATTTATACCTATGCGTGGTAAGATTGCAACATAGATGGGATGAGTTTGAGACCTTCTTTGGGTTTGTAGTGAGAATGAAACAGATCTTGTTTTGTGGCAGATATTACTGGTAATCAGCATGGTACAGCCATTGCTAGATGAGTTCTTTAGAGAACAGATCTACACAAACAGGTAATCAGTATATTCATTTTTATGTATTTCTTTACTAAGAGAATGCCCTTTAAAATTTCATGAAGACATGAACTGCTAATCAAATAACAGCATCACATAGGCGTTTCGTTTATTATGCATGAAACCACTGTTAGGTTTTAATGCTTATCAAATAAACACTAAAAAATAGAAATGCTTGGATTTGTGTGCATGAGGCGTCCCCCAACGCCCCAGCGTTTGTTGAAATGAAATGCTCGTGTGACGTACTTTAAGCTGAGGTGGAAAGTAAATTTTTGGGGTGTTACCTGAAACGCCCAACAAAACAATAAACACTCCATCTATAAATGCCCACAGAACTAACCACATATTGATTACTGGCCATCCTTGTTAGAATTGAGAACTAATTCTCTGTGCTGCATATTCTACTTGTGGGAACGAGCTTGGATTGATTGGTAAGGTTAGAGATGACATTTTCCACCTCCTTACAACTATGGGTATGGGTAAGATACAGCATTAGACTGAATCTGACCCTCCTTGACTCATTTATTAAATTGACTAAAATATCCTTAGTGTTTATAATTGAAATACCAATATATTAGGGGATATACATAACCCTAGTGGCTAGTGATGGTGTTTTATGTGTTGAAATTAATAATGCTTTGAATCTCATGTGAAATATAATTGATAGATTGTGCATTTTATACATGTTTCAATCAAATAAATAAAAATTTTGTTGTTTGTTCATATTATTTTATTTGTTTATTGCTTAAAATTAGAGGATTTCGATTCTGAAAATCCAATCTGTTACAGGTTTTGGGGAAGATAAGGGTTGGTAGGTTTGGAGAAGATTATCCATTTTTGTTTGTGAAAAGTTCTCTGCAGCTCTATCCTTACAGTCGGAAATCGTGGTTCAAAAACAGAGTAGGATAAATAATAACGGAATGCAGGTGTACTACTACTACTACTACAAAGAACCCAGAGAAACCAATTTATAATAAGAAATTTCAAGTGATTTTTTCATGTTTAAACAGAAGCTACATATAGGAGAGTTTGGTGGGTTAAAGTATTTCTTCTTCTTTTTGTTTTTCTTCTTTCTGTACAGGTTTAGATACCTGGGGGAATCAAGAGTAAGAGAATGAGGTCTGTCTTGATTGTGTCTGCAACAAAGTTGGCTGCTGCTCCATTAATGGTGTCATTGTCAACCAGAGCGGTGACCGTTAACCTCAGCTCCTGCTCATGCACAGCAACACTGGCACCCAATACCTCCGCCCCGTGCCTATTGAATACCGTGAAAATATCATTCACCAGACCCCGTCGAACAACCTTCGAGCGTACCCCGAAGAACCACACCTTGCCGGAAACCGTAACGTCCACCGACGATGATGCATTCCGATGGGTGGGCAGGCATACTGCAGCCGCTTCTACCACTGCCTTTCGTTGCTTTAGCCCTTCTAAGCATTCCTCGAGCTCTTTTATGTAAGCAATTGTCTCGTCCACTATCTTCAGATTCTTCACCTTTGTGTCCTGCATTTGGTCGTCAGACCCACAAATTGATTTGATAACATTAGGTCCTCATTCACCATTCTGACACAAATTGCAGAATAGATGTAAAGAAGCAGAAGGGGGAGATCCCAGTACTAACCTTATGGAAGAGATTGGGAACCATGGATTGAAGGGTTGCAAAGAGTCTGTTCATGTGGACTCGTCGGCTGCTTTCTTGCTGATGAGGTGGCCTTGAACTTGAAGCAGCTCTTCTGTTGAAGTCGGTTCCCCTGGACGGAGAAAACTCAGATAATGGGGCAATTACAGAGTCGCTATATCCCTCCATGAGCTTTAGAAACAGCTTAGAGACGTCCTTGTCTTCTTGGGTTCCTTCCATTTCTGAGAGAGAGTCATGCACACAGAAAGGGGGCATACGAGGCATTATTTATTGAGCTACAAGTTAGAAATGGAGCATGGTCGAGCGATGGCGATGGCGGGTGCTGGGTTCCGATTAAGGAAGCAAATGGAATATTTTCCTGAGAGAGAAAGAGAATGAGTAGTGTACGAGGAAACCAATGATAACGTTTCGATTCTGTTTGTTGATGAGTGAGAACAGAGTGGCAGTTACATCTCAATTCTTCACTTGCTCCAATTTCAGACTTAACAGTGTACCTTTCACGTCGACTGAAGAATTCTGATCTTGTTGATGTGCTCGCCATTACCCCTCCCTGTGCCTTCATCTCCTTCACTCAATGTTCAAAATTTCATAGGCCGATACTTGTCGTATTGGGGTGTTTCAGGGTTTGACCTGGTTCAGGGTAGTCAGGCCAAACTGATCCCTCTGAATCAGTTTGAAAAAAAAAATAATAATAAAAACAAGCAAAGACAGACTGATACGCCCCAACAGGTGTATCAGCTTGTATCGATATTTTGAACATTGCCTTGAGTATCTCTTATACTGTTTAGAAAATAAAAACCTCTCACTTGACAGCTTAAGTTTTTTAGGTTTAAAGGTATCTTAATATGGTATCAGAGCTTGTTTAACGAAGTGGTCTAGGGTTTGATCCTTATCCTCTGTGTTTGTTCACATTTAAAGCCTGACATGAAAGCATTGTTTCGGGAAACCTATTGAAAATGATGAAGAAATTCAGAAAGAAAACCAAGAATTGACTGAACTTAATTAGGGAAGATATTGGGAACCATGGTTTGAACTTAGGAAGTACTTGATCCAAACATCCATTGTTGAAGCTGTTGCTTTCTTCTCTCTAATGCTAACGAGGTTTCATAGCTTCTGGCTCATTAGAAAATCATGACAAGGGAAGAATAATGGAATCGATGCAATTCCCCATAAGATGTAGAAATAATTCAGCCGATGGCGTTCTTTTCCTCCATTTCTGGGTTGAGAGAGACTGAGAGGTCAGAGGAGCAGACTCCGATTCTCAAACCATAAAGCAAACTGTAAACAATGTGTTTGACATGGTCTTCTAGAAATGATGGTGGTCCATACTCTAGTCACAGTCAAGGAAACAAAGCTTGTGCTCCCTGCTCTTATTCTTGCTTTCTGAACTTGGGCCACTTGGCTCGAGAGAGAAAGATGGGGGGATTCTAGTTCAGATCTCCTACCCGCAGGATACTAAAAGTCACGGCAACATCTCCTATTCGAAATTGCATCGGCGCCCCGGACAATGCGTCGCAGAGCACATCTCAACCGTGTATTGTGAATATCGAACCCAAACCTATCAAGGTTCAAAATATCAATATGCCGGTAGAGGCGTATCGGTAGTTTTCTTTTGTGTTTTCCTTCAAATCTGGTTTAATGGGGGCTGGTTTAAGATGGTCCGTCCACTCCCTGAACCAGTTAAAACCCCGATACACTCTCTGTATCGGAAAGCGCCCGGTACGATACATATCGACCGATACGGGCTGATATTTATCAATATTTTGAACCTTGAAACCTAGTAGTATTTGAGTTGACCGAACCAAGACATGCCAAAGTTCATCTCAGCTCGACTCGATCCCACACCTATCAAAAAAGAGGACAAATTATCTTATTCTTAATCCTACTTGATTAATAAACAATTGTTGGAGGCCTAACAACAAATTATCTATCAAAGCCTCAAAGGTGCCATTTGGTCCAATTGGTAAGAAATCTCCTTGTTGATGTGCTTAATAAACATGATGTTTCTCTTAGAATTGGTAATAATATGTTGGATCCATAGAACTCTTTCCAAAGGAATTTGCTCTTATCGAAATTAAGATGTGCTTAAATCAGTGTGAGGAAAAAAAGTTTAAGCGCTAAAACAACATTTTCCGTCCAAACATGATGTTGGGTTCGGTGCCTACATATGCACTAATTGAATGCAAGGTTTCCAAAATGACACCGAAATTTAAAGTGAAAACTGAAACATCCCTGGGTCAAATTTGAGATTGAATTGATTTGTAATTAATTTAGAGAAAAAAAAAAACCATCATCATCAATAGGGGTGTCAATGGACTAGTTTTGGGTTGGACCCCGTTCAAACCATAATCAATTTGGACGGATTGGACGGACCAACAAGACCTTGAATTGGACCGGTCCAGACTTAATGGTCCAAAATATTGGACCTACTCCATCCATAAGGGATTTATGTTGAACTGGGTTGGATTGAGCCAATATCTGGTCTATTGATAGGAGATAAGAATATAGGTGTCAATGGACCAGGTTTGGATTGGAACCAATCTAAATTAAGACGAATTTGAACAAATTGGATGGTCTAGACATTGAATTGGACCAATTCAAAATGATCCAAAATATTCATTGGATTGAATTGGACCTGGTCCATTTCTAATGGATTCACATTGGTCTGGATCGGATTGGACCAAATCCAATCCAATTGACACCCCTTCATCAACCTTGGGACAGTCAAAACTTGACCGACCACCTGTTAATATCATCCTTGTATTTCTACTGAATATTTGCACTCATCCTTTGGCCAAAATGACCAAATGAACAAATAATAGAACTTTAATTCTCTCTCTTAAGCAACTGTATATTACAGAAATATTATCATTCGGAAAAAAAAAGAAAAAATAAAATCCATAGCAACTTTGTGCCACATGAGTGGAGACCCGTCATTGCTGGTTAGGTCTAAACTCTAAACCCATCAATTGGATAATCCCAATGATTTGATCTAATTCCCTCCCAACCTCAAGCATTGGAAACTCTTGCACTGTAGAGATTTGTCAAAGCCACAAATGACCATCAACTAACCTTCTTCCTGTTTAATAAAATAAATCTTTAGTATAAAATTTTAATCAAACACCATTTTCGATTCTCCACGCTTTGTTTTTTGATAAGAGACGTTCATTAGAAGATGCCTCATGTTTAATCCAGAATTCATGGATATGATATAGATCTGTAAATGGCTTTTGGCTTGGTAGTTTCTAAGCCCATATACCTTCATCAGTTCCCTATTTTGCTTAGGCATTGCAATTAACAACACATGATGAATCAAACATTCAATACATCAGTTGTTTACATAGATTTGGGTTGTGTTTGGTATTGTTGTCATTTCTATTTGTAATGTTTTAGGTTGATCAATACAAATTTTAGAGAAATTATCTTATCATATCACATCAGATAACCGCTTCCACTAAAAAAAATATAAGCATCAGATTGGGTATTGACATTTATGGTAAAAATACCAAATTTGATGTTTCTTCGATAAACAAAAATGGTACCAAATGTATTGATAACTCAAAGCATTTGTGATAACAAAAATATTCTCATAAAATTTGTATTGGCCGACCTAAAATGTTACAGGTGGCTATGGTACCAAACACAACCTTGGTTTGTGTTTCTTATCATTTGATGAAATCATCACTTGCAGTGGTGGGTTGGATGCCAATGACCAGAATCTGTTCAAGGTTGCTTTTTTTCTCGATTAGGGAAGGTTTTTCAAAATTGGAATTTTCAAAAAACTCAAACGGCATATGATATCATGTGCTAACAGACGTGAATCGAGAGTTAACAAATGGGAGGTTTTTAGGGGAGGTAAGTCTGATGATTTGAAAAATGAGGGGAATTTTCATTATTTAGGTGAAATATCAGGGGAGATTTAAGTCTTCTACCCTAAATCATTCAATCCATACTCACATACCATGGTAATGAAAATGGACCATTAATCAAACATCTTCTTTGGCATTGTGTGGTTCCAAAGATCAATTATTTGGATTCGATTCAATATCCAAATAGAAAAATTGATTGAATGTTCCAACATTTGAGTTCAATCAATTTTATTTGAATATCCGAATCTAAATAAGATCTAATTGAATTGTTTTAGGGAAAATCTATAATATGAAAAAGATATGGTATGGAAAGAGTTTTGACCAATCAGTTATCAAACCCACTCATGAATTTTGATAAATAACATCTGATTCATTATCAAGTATATGATTCCAGTTGATTGGTCAGGTGTTTTTCCCATATCATATCTTTTCTATATCATAAATGAACCCTTTATAAAATAAAGAAATTACTTGTATAATTTTATTAGAGAGAAATAAAGGGTCTTTGGTGTGTGTGGGTTGGGCTGGGTTTTGCTTTTTTATTAATAGAATACATTCATGCCCGAACCCAAGCCTGACCTAGACCTTGAGCTGGAGCCCATTTTTTGCATAAAACCCAAAACCTGACCTAGAAATTGGGTAAGAAGATTTTTTTTTTTTCACTCAACAACAGAACCAATATATATACTAAATCAATGTTTGCCACGTCAGATGGCTTCTTTGTGCTCCATTACCCCAAAGGAGCAATTCTAGAAGAATGCAAGATTCCCTCTAAAAGCCCATAAAATTGCCAGTTGACCTAGACCTTCTAACGTTCCCTTCTCTAATTGTATCATCCTAAGAAATCGAGACATTTCCAAACATACAATATTTATGAGGACTCTTTCTATCGTTTCAGAGTTTCCATAATTTCAGAGTCTTCTCACTATCAAAGAGCATAAGCGTCTAATGCATTGAACAGGTAAGAGTGTTGCCAACTTTGTATACCCGTATAAGTTTTTTCTGTGTTTTTATCTTACATCATTTTTTTTGAACTGTAGACACTTTTATGGCTTTCTTTCATTTGAATCAGGGGTTTCATCTCACTCAGGTTCATCTTCTTTTATTATAATTTTATCTTACATCTCACTCAGGTTCATCTTCTTTTATTATAACTTTTGGATTCATAACATGGTTTTTAAAAACAACCCAGAGGTTGAACTGGTCAGGGGTCCGGTTACCGGGTTAGACGGTCTGACCGTTTGAAACAAACGGTCAACCCATTCTGACAAAAAAAAAGAAAAAACGGTCAAAATCGTTTAAATGATTAACCGCCCGGGTCAGCGATTTGCTGACCAAAATCAACGGTTTTGGACAAATTTCCAATTTTGGGAAAAACCGAAACTGATCACCTGACCAATTCCTAGTTTTTCTGGTCCAACCGTTCGGTCCGATTTTAAAAACCATGATTCATAATATTGTTTTCATACTAAAGAATGGGGTCCTATTGGGCCAAAAATGTTGTAAATCACTACTAAGTCGCAATCTGTCATAATATTCTTTTATAGAATAGAGATCATTTTTATCTAATATGCTATTTTTTGCTGGTTTAATGTTGGAATTTGGCTTTCGAGACAACTTCTAACATCCAAACGATGGTACACAACATCCAACAATCCAAATCACTAGATAGTT